CGATGTAAAATCTTTTACGCGTTATGCACTTTTAAATATACGCGCTCGTTAACTGTGAATGCCACCTGGACGAGTGCATTGTTCATACAGTCTACGACAATGTTTAGTGGGTATCAAAGCTCTCGTTTATAGACCCCTTGATGCTCGCACCTAACTCTTCGTAATCAAGGACGATATCCGGTGCATCATTATTAGGAAACGAGCCACAATAATTACTGTTTTGTAGTGGGAACAGGTTGTCATAATTGCGCGTTAAGGGAATTAATAATAACTTGCTCATCCCCGATTGGACGGAAGAAAATGTACGCTAATAATAATGCTTTCAAATTGCGCGCAATAATTTATTTATAACTGTAGTTAAACGTTGAAAATTGTCCAGAGTTTATAAACCTTATCACAGAGTAGAGCAGAATAAAAGCCAACCCCTAAAGGTACAAGTTCGAAATAATATTTAATGTTCATCAACATTAAATCATCAAATATTATATTGATTTATATAGTTTTGACTTAACTATTCTTTATAACATCAAAATTAAAATAGTGTTTTGGTTTTGTCTGAGAGAATGAGGATCTTAGATATGAAATACTTGAAATCAATCAAATTTTACGAAGCTAAATTACATTCATTATAAAGAAATAATACAATGAAAAAACATCAAAACAAATGATTAAAATCAATATAAGGGGTTACAGTACTTTTGTCTATTCCATAAGGAGGTTCGTGTTTATGAACTTTTTGGTTGTATTATTTTATTTAGTGGATATATGTGCCAAAAGAAATGTTCTAGTTATATAAATTACATATAAACATTTGTTTATTAATTTGATTACCTAATCTTCTCGACGATATATAATTCTTTATGAAACAATTCTATCGGGAATAACCACGAATCACGAAACATTCGTTCTATTATTGCGCGAATCAGCTATTGTTGTTAATTTTACGTTGCACAAGTACCGCGTTATCAGGATGCATTAGAAGGCCGTCATCTCGTGCACCTTCTTTACTACCATTGGTACTGGTCTGTCGAATTGCAGCGCGGTTACCTCGATTCCACCGGTGCAATAGGATCGGCCGGTACTTTTTCCTACATCGATATAAGCTACCAGACCGGTAACAGTCTCTCTTTCTCGCGGGGTGTAAACAAGGCCTATGACGAGTCTCCAAGTAGGATGAAGAGGGGGTGAGCGGTAGCGCAGGCGAGAGTGTCGACTAAAGACTCCTGGCCAGCGATGTGTAAGTCGCCTTATTAGCGATGGGAATAATATCCTCGTACTCGATATCGAATCAAAAATTCTATATCAAAAAATAAATACAGAAGTATTTTGAGAATTCAAATTTGCCTTCCTCTATATCTAAGAGCTGATATACTAATCGGGTGCTCGTATGAAATTCTTCATTTGAACACATTGTTTTGGTCCACTTTTATGAGATTTTCAGGTATAAACATATTAGGTGAAAACTAAAAGGAGAGAACGTATATACGAGTACGAATGTATGAATTTCTCTAAGGTTTAATTTGCTTAGAATCGATCTTAATTTGAAACTACAGAGGCACAAACTGAAATTAATATTAAAGTAATATGAAAGTTATTATTATTATTATTAATGATTTGTGCAATAAAAATAATATTAATCTTTATGATGAACACACTGAATAGATATAAATCTAAAATTATTGATCACAACATTCTTTACGACAATCATTATTATTTCTTATCATACAATACGAAGAAGTGTTGTTTTTAAGAAGGAAACGATGGATAGCAAATAAAATCTTTTATACACGTCATTTTTACATTGTCCTGTATGCATATCAGCACGTTAGTATTAGTTACTCTTAATAATGAATAATAACTTTCATTCCTTTCATACTCGATACATACAGCGTGTTTCGTTTATCTAGCAAAGTAAATATCTCGTGACGCACTGAAGTTACGAAAACAATTTATTTACAAAAATTGTTCGGTTTGTAGGGTACATTCATATGATGTAATTTTTGTTCGGGCCTGGAATAGTAGGGAGAGGGGATTTAAAAGTCAAAATAAGTTTTTTAAATGGAACTGTATATTTTCTTTTTTCATGGCCCGATAGCTTTTTTCGAAACGAATTCAACGGTATATCACATTATTTAATTTTCTGTTTCCAAACGTTAGAAATTATATTATAAATTTGTAACGTTTTGAGTAGGTAACGGTAGGACATATCGGGTTGCCGCGGTTATTAGCTGTAACACTGTTGTCATTTCTTTTGATGAGTTGTGATGATTGGCTCGACTCTCATTTATTTTAGTTGAGAAAGTGCAATATTAGAGATTAGTTCTGTTCGGTGCTTTCGAAATTAAAATTAAATTATTGATTTCCAAAAAATGTCCTTCATAGTTCAGGAAAAAGCCGAATTAGTTTGTCTGCGTGGTGATAGATATTTATCCTATGCCGAAGTGGCTCGGGAATTTCATAGACGGCATCCTTGTCAACGAATGCCAACAGTGTCAACAATAAGACGACGAGATATTTACTTTGCTAGATAAACGAAACACACTGTATATCAACCCCTATGGGTTTATTATAGCCCAAGACTTTCTCAAATAATAAAGAAACTAGCTGGTTATTGTTGCTCGCTCGCTTCGCGATCTCGCGAGTAGGGTTGTTCTTGCTCGCTTAATTCATATATTTATTCATGTTTATTTTGCGTGCGACCCTTTACGGGCCACACACCGAACTTCCGATTACAGCGACAAAGTTGGCAAATCTACGATAGCGTTAATAAGACTCAACAAAATCAAAGTATTCAAGACAATTGACAAGTTCCTAAGAGAGATAGGGAAAAAGATGCGAAACAGGACAAAACTGAAACTGAAAGACTGACGATACCATAGGGATGTAAATGTGATAGATAGAAAATAAATTGCGAGTAATAACGTAAATTCTAGATAGGAATAGGATAGGGAAAAGGATAGTGCAACGACAATGAAAATAACAAATGTACAACCAGCAAGGAATAAGATACATATACACATGTAATATATAGGAAAGAATTCTCATATATTTTAATATGTATTATTTATTGTAGCTAAGTCAGATAGATACAAAGTCACAGGGGGGTGGTTAAAAATAAATAAAATATGAGCAAAGTTCAAAGAACAAGATATATCCAAAGTAAATGTATGATAAAGAAAAAGAAAAAATCATATGTGATAATAGTAAAAGGAAAAGTATGTTACGAAGAGATATATAATAATTTATATGATGTTTCACTTTTGAATAGGTTTACACAAATGTTACAGAATACAAAGAATGTATGAAAAGTCTAACTAAGTTTTAATAAAGGCAGGCTCGGATTGCAAATGATATTAACTGAGTATGTATAATATTAGAATTAAGTATAACAAAAAATCTAACATCCCAGTCCTGAGAATGAGAATGAGTGTGAACGAATAAGAATGAATGATGCATATTAAACAAAAGGAAAGATATTGTTTTTTTTTTTAAAAGGAAGTAATTTAATGAAGAAATAAAATAGAGACCAAGTATGGAAGGATGAAAGTTTAAAATAAAATGTAAAGAATGATAAAGGAATGGATGGATGAGAACAAGAAAATCATATAAGTTGTAAGAAATGTTAAAAACAGTGCATCACACAGTAGTGTAATAAGGACTTTCCTTTAACACTATAAATAAAAACGCAATCAACGCAATCCGATTACAGCGTCATCTATCGCGAATAAAAAAAAATGTTTGAAACTAGTGTTTTGAAAAGGTCTCATAGCCGGCTTTCACAGTACATGATAAAAAATGAGGTGTTCCATTAAAAAAATTACGTTAACTTTGACGTGACTTTGACCGGTCCTTTGAAGGTCAAACGGACACGATCGTTCAATAGAATTTTTGAAACCCTAAAACGTTTCTCTAAACCGTTTTTCTCACAAATGTTCCATTTTGGAAATATTTGACTGTTTCCATACTTTTGGAGCACCCTGTATGTATACTATATACATGTGTTATACATATGCATACAAATGTAATAATAGTAATATATGTATGTATATATATTATTTCCGTTTAGTTATTCGCTCATAAATTTATATTCTCCCATCTATATTGCGTTATAGAGTTAAGTTTTCTTAAAAAAACTAAAAAACTACTGGACCGAATTAGAACGAAATCTGATCAGCTCTAAGTTAGATTTAAACACATCGATTGCATCATCGATCTTTTTGATCTCGCTATCAGTTTTTTAGAAAACGTTAACGAAAAATTTGTTTACACACACACACACAGACACACACACACACACACGCGCGCGCGCGCGCGCTCGAACAATTTGTTAAAAATAGGTTAAAATTACTTCAATGACCTTGAAACATGGAGATCTGTTAAAAAAACGATTTTTCATTTTAGGGGCAAATATTGGGTTGTCTGAAAAGTCCATGCCGATTTTTAGTAGGCGGTCAGGTCTAAATATATCGAAATAGTTGAAAACAAATAGCATTTGGACATACCCTTAAAAGGTGGAAAAGTTGTGGATCGAAATGGTACATACATAATTCAATAAATATATATCAAAATTTAAACGTGTCTTTGAATGTTTCTTAAAAATTTGTATGAACTTTCTGGATAACCCAATACAATAACTTCCCTATAAATCGGCAAGTTAAAAAATATATGCCAAACTATGGTAAAAACGCGAGATCCCATAAAATCTTAACAACCGAGTTACCGACAGGTCGATCCCATCGCTAGGTGACCATGCATGTGTGTTCGCGCGTCGGAACGCAGGGGGACACTGCGCGGTGGATCGAGCCTAAGGGTGGCAGATTGGTGGGGGGTGTACGCCGGGAAGGGAGAACGGCGGAGGGTCAAAAAATGTGTAGGTGCGCGCGCAGCTGCTTTGTCTCTGTTGGTTGCTGTTAGGTGGGGGGTCGGTCAGACCACGAGGGGCCACAGGGGTCCGTGAGCGTACCATGGCGGACCAAAGGCGACTGCATCCTTTCAGTCGGCCGCTGAACCCGCGCGCCGTACGGTTGGCTCGTGTGTGTTTGCACTTGACTCCGATTCCGTCGCGTAACGTTCTTTTTTTACTCACCACTGCAGGACCACGCGTGTGAGGTTTTTCTATTCGCCGGCTGTCCGTTCGTTCGTACCTGCGAAGGTGACCAGACACCGAGGTGAAACGGGACGAGGCTGCGCGCGTTCCATAGGAGACCTCCTGACACACAGGACCAAAGCCCTACGGGGCTTGCGGATTTTTTTTGTGTACCTCTCCAGATTGTTTTCGTGCGCGGGAGTGACGTCAAGTTCTTCTGCATGGTAAGTGGCAATTCGAGCAACTCTGTCCCTTTCTCCCGTAGTTGTCTTGGTGAGGTGTTCGGAACTTCTTGTTCTTTCGTTCCGCTCTGGAAGAGGATGCTTCCTTTGGAGTGGAAAATCCGATTCTCTGGCGAACCATCGGATGGATGATATTTTTACTTGGTTATAAAGTTAGGATTGTAATGATCGTATGGAGCGTTTTGATGTTGAATCTGACCGTTAAAAGAGGTGGATAACTGTTGTTGCTAGAGTCTTTATATAGAAATTGAAGTTTGAATTACATAATGAGGGTATGTTTTACGGTTTGACTTATGGAAACTCATTCACAGTGTGTGTGTGTGTGTGTGTGTGTTAGATCGACTAAACGATTCGCGTGTATAGAATATTTTTATTGGAGTGAAATTTTGCACATCTCTGTCGACGAGGTGATTCGAAAGAAAGGGAGCGAACGTTGGGTAAGGTTTTCACACGTGTATGCAAGTGGACAGCTTTCGGGACGCGGTAAAGTGACGCAACGGTGGGATAGAGAGAGACAGATAAACTCGAAGGCAGGTTAGGTTTTTGAAATCCATTCAATCATAATAAACGCTAAATTATCGTTAATCTTTTCCCTGGAAAAACGCATAAAGAGGATCTAATAATCCAAATACCATTTAATTTAAAATGAAATCTTACTCCATTTCATTATTCAACATTCATACAGTGGGTGTAGAATGTATTCGTACACCGATCAATTTCCTAAAAAACTTTTGTGTGATATTGTAGTGTCTTAACTTCCTTTTTTATAATCAATGATATTTTACATATTCTCGGAAGTCTCTAAGATAGATATAGTCCAAACAACATTTACTAGTTAATATAATTTGTGAAATTAACACAAAAAATGCGAAAAGTGGGTAAAAGTATAGAAGCAATAAGTATTTGTACTATTCTTATGACAAACCATTTACAGCAGAGTTTGTAACTTAAACACATTAGTTTATTGCTCCGTGCAAATTAGAAAACATCAAATTTCCAGTAAAGTACTTTTAAACAGTTGTGCGAATACTTATTGCTTCAATATTTCTATCGATTAATTGATTTTTTCTTGTTAATTTCGCAACTTACATAAATAGCTATTTCTTTTTTGTAATCTATCTATTTTAGACATTTCCTAGAACATGTAGAATGTCATTGTTTATAAAAAATAAGTTAATAAATTACAATTTTACACAGTTTTTTTGGAAATTGATCGGCGTACGAATACTTTCTACACCCACTGTACATTATTTTCATGATTTTCTGTAAAATATATAATTCGATTAATCATGTTTTAAGTAAGTGTAAACAATATAAACATTAGTGGTGGATATTACCGTGTATCAATTCGTCAGGATGTGGTTAGTTAAAATTACAAAATTCGATGAATATTGCAGAGGGTTGGAAATTGGAAATCCATTCCACCGTACTAAACACAAAATTATCATTAATCTTCTTATTGGGAATCCCTATAAAACAGATTGAATTATCCAAGTACTATTTAATTTAAAATTATAATCTTACTCCATTCCACCACTTGATATTTCTGACAGTATTTGCGGTATAGTTTTAAATATAGATTTCAATTAACGTCTTAAGTAAAAAATTCAAACAGTAATAGTGGTTGTTACCGTATATCAGTCCGTTAGAATATGGCAGTTTAAAGTTACAAATACGATAAATATTGGGGAGGGTTGAAACGAGTACGAGAAAAATAAAAGTCGCAAGCGTTACCAGCGTAAAAAAGTCGAAAGGAAACAATTAAACGCCGTGGCATCTGGAACGACTTTAAATTGGCTATAATTGTATGTGATTTGCCAACGGAAGGGAAGTAAAGTTTATACGGCGACCACGTGTCGTAAGATGGAGTGCGAATTGAACGATGCTTTGAAAAGACACCCTTCGCCGAGTAACGAGTGCTCATAATGATAAGGGTACGGGATTTTGTCGAATCCAACCGTGTGTGCGCGTGACAAAGTATACGTTTCCGATGCTATACATCGCACATGTCGAGACGCGGGCATACAATTGCCGCGCGTGTGTATTATAATACTGGTAGTGCTTTCGGTAACACAAGAGTTCCAAATTGTGCGTAATTACTTGGTGTAATTGCGAGTTATCTCTGCATTGTATTCGCAGCACGTTTTCGCATGAAAAACACGTTTACTCTCCTTTCTTTCCTTGGATTATTTATATCGTTGACCGTGGAATGATAACGATTGAATTAAAAGGGGTAGCATGATAATTAATGAAATTATAAGTTATACATTTCAATTAAAATTTTGTTGGGGTTGTATTGTGAGTCTTCTACGGTAGATATTGTTGCACGAGATATTTTAAAATTATAGTACGTTAAAGTTGGAAAGATCCACTTGATTAGCGATGAAATTGAAAATTCGAGATATGTATAAAAAAAGGCATCTTTATAACGCAGTATCATATTTCATTTTAAATATTACATGATCCTATTGGTATTCTAATGGTATAATTCAAAGTACATTTTTTCTTTTCTTGGATTATTTTTATCATTTCCCATGGCAGAAGGAAAATTGGATAAAAAGATCGTACTTAATAATTAATGAAATATAAGTTATGCATTTCAATTAAAATTTTGTTGAAGCTGTGGGTCTTTTTCAGTAGATACTTCTGCTGGAAATGAGTAATGAGAGTAGTAGTAGTAGTAGTAGTAGTAGTAGTAGTAGTAGTAAGTTTATTAATTTCAGCCTTTCGGCCCAGAAATGGGACTTGGTTTTACATTCTCTATACTCACGTATCCATCCACCCTGCCACATTCGTCACACCGCGCGATTACCCACCCTCTCTTTGCTTCTCTCCTCTGAACGTATGTTACTAATTGTAGGTTGTACTTTTATCCTTCCCGTTTACTAATTTCCTTATCCAATCTATATTTCTTACATTAAACCTACCCTCTAAAAGCTCTTCTATGCTTATATTAGCATTTTCCCGCTTGTCGCAATCTGCTAAATAGTGCTTCAGAGATCCTTGTCCCCTTCCACAAAACTCGCACCTTCTCTCCTCACTCGCAAGCCAGTATCTATTTCAAGGTTCTAAATTTCCGCACCTCGCCTTTGCCATCAAACTTTGGCTGTTTAGTTTTCCATCTTTCCTTAGATACTCTGGCCTCTGTCCCGTAAATAAATATCTATACCTACTATTATATTCGAAATGAGTAATGAGATATTTTAAAATTATAGTATGTATAGTAGTATATATAGTATAGTAGTTTGTTGAATTATAGTATGTTCAAGTTGGAACAGTCTATTTCATTATTGATGAACTTGAAAATTTCACATAATTCCATTCTAATTTTCGTGAATATTGACCAAAATTGTACCCTTGAAGGATAGGTCCCAGACGTTTCGTATTATAAATCGAGTTGCTCGCGGCTCTTTTCGGAGTTTTAACGGTAGAATATTGTTCACAGGATTTTCTAGTATAACTTCATCGAGACGAAATTTTTCACTCGCGAAAAAGACGAGTCGTCCGTAATGGGTTAATGTCACTACATTTCATCGCGTTCGTCTTGTACGCTCAGCAGCATCTTGCTAATGTCGCGACGCAATCAAGCAGGCAGAAAACGTTTCAATAAATTCGAGGCGCGGCGAGACGTGTCGCTTCGAGACACTCAATTGTGTACGTTCCGAACACGCGGAACAAGTTTTATCGCGTTTGTTTCCTCTTTTTTCGTTTTCACGAAACTCGAAAGTCGTGGTACAAGGAAACTTTAAAAACTGATAAACAGACGCGAATTCTAAAACACGAATCATGCGCGGAGTTGAAACAATAAAGTACTGTTGAAAATGAGTACTTGTGATTGGAGACGATGATATTGGGTCGATTTTTTTGTAGCTAACGTACATTTTTTGTTAAATCTATAACGTTTTATATTTATTTTTTTAGTAATAGAGGAAGTCTAACATGTTTTTAGTATCGTGTACAAATTTCATAAACCTTAAAATAAAATTGACCGAAATATACATTATTGTTTACAATGATGCATCTTTGCTTAAAATTGTCTGGCATTTCTCGGATATGTGTGAAAATATCCTCTGCCACTCAAAGGGTTAATATATTTCAACTTTATCCTAATTCTTGTTCTCTATAATCCTGCCATTTTCTAATACTCATTTAAAAATGGCATCTGTATTGACATTTCGTGTTAATAATGAGTCAAAGTAGTTAAATAAATTTAATTCCGTTATGTTCCCTTGATAAAATTAAATAATACGCAATTCTTCTATCAATCGGACAGAATGTCAGTGATAGATTGAATACAATCAAACTAATATAATTTTCAAATTTTTTATGATAAATAATGAAATACTAAATATTTTCCTAAATAATAAAATTAAATAAGCAGACGATTTGACCATGACCATTTTACCATGATCATTCAAAAAACCAGTTGAACGCTTAGCTTGTTTTCAAAGAATAATCGCGGAGCTCTTGAATTATTCGACTGTTTCTCTACTTACTCTCATTGAAGTATTCGATGAAATATTAACCCCGTCCTTTTCCAGTATCAAGGCTCCGGTGTTATATCGATGACTCTGTAATACCTAGACATAATTTATAGCGACATGGTTCCGTTTCATGGAAACGGAACCTCGCGGTGAGTGGTCTCAACGATTTTTCAATTTACATACGAAAATGCATTTCACCAGCTATTAAATAACGTTGATATAAATAGGAAATGGTTTTTCCAATGCGCGTCGTTATCGAAGACGAAAATACGCGTATACGGGAGCTATTTCGGTCGAACATTATTATGACTGCTTTAATTCCACGATTTAGTTACATGTACGAGCAAAGGATCGAGTTTCTACTCGTTTATATGAGTTTTATCTTTCGCTCGCTCCGCGAGATGGATAAATGAGGAAATACAGAATTGTAGAATAATATGTAGAAACTGTACGGGTTGGGAAAATCGATTATTTATGAAACATAAGGATATGGATGGA